CTTCTCCAGATCATTTTACAGATGAGGAAATTGAGGGAAGCAGGGTTAAATGACTTGCCCAGGGTCACACAGCTGGTAGGTATCTGAGGCTGGATTTGAACTCAGGTCTTCCTGACTAAAGGTCTGACGCTCTATCCACCTAGCTGCCCACTGGCATATAATAGGCACTTAATAAATGTTTATAGAATGACTTCCTTTTCGTCTCTGACAAAATGAGGGAGAAACTATGGGTATGGAATGTTGCTTATATACTATCAGACTCAGTTGGTATATTGGTTAATTTTGCTGAACTGACTGCAATATTTTTTTCCTCTCTTTTAATTGTTACAAGGTGTGGATTTTCAGGAAGGACAGTGGGAGGTATATATTTGGAAATGAATAAAAACAAAAGACATCAGTAAATTTTTTAAAAGTAAAAACAGTAAATCTGCACAGGGTTCTTAGTCAAGCTTCAGAATCAAAGAGCTATATTAAAAAAAAGACAGTGAATATAAAAAATGAATGGTGTAAATTTTAGTTTCTTGATAGAAAGTGACTAGAAGGAAATTTTTAAAAATTATCTCTATAGTTCATTCTTAAAATCTTTTTGAGGTAAGGGGAATATTGCATCAGAAGTAAATAAATAGCAGAATTGTTTGATTATATTAACTTCCCTAGGCCCCAGAAAGCATGATTCAGGTACAATAAAACAATGCCAAAAGATTCTTCCAGTTAAGATGCTTCTCATGCATATCTCAAAGTTATTCAAGAGTCCAAAATATAATAGAGGTAATCTTGTTTGAAAAAATTTTTCCAGTTTCGAAAAAAATTTAAGTCAATTTTATTATTTTCAGTTCTAAATTCTCTCCCTTCCTCCACCCATTGAAAAGGCAAGAAATACAATACCCAATATAAATATGAAGTCATGCAAAACATATTTCTGAATTGGCTACATTCAAAAAAAAAAGAGAAAAAGAAAAAATATACTTCAATTTGCACTTTGAGTCAGGTCTCTATCTGGAGGTGGAGAGCATTTTTCATTAGCCTTTTGGAATTGTAGATCATTGTGTTGATCAGTTACTAAGTCTTTCACAGTGGGTTACCTTTACAATATTGCTGTTACTGTGTAAATTGTCCTAGTTCTGCTCACTTCACTTTGCATGAGTGAATATAAGTCTTCACAGGTTTTTCTGAAAGCATCGGCTTCATCATCTTTTACAGCACAATAGTATATTCCCTCATATTCACACAGTATAACTTGTTCAGCCATTCACCAATTTATGGGCATTCCCTCAGTTTCCAATTTTTTTTTTAAATTTTTTTTAGTTTCTAATTTTTTGCCACCACAAAAAGAGCTTCTATAAATACTTGTGTACATATGGGTCCTTTTCCTTTTTCTTTGATCTCGGGTTATAGACCTAGTTTGGAAATCTTCCAATATTAATATTAGGCAAGACATAAAACAAAGGGACACAAACTTGCTAAAGATGTTTGCCACTGTTTTATTCACAAAGAGATCAAATGAAAGGATATTGCTTGGAGATGGTGGGGTTTTCCTGGTGGTGGAGAATGGACTGTATAGCCTTTGGGAAATTACAAAGTTCTTTTAATGACTCCAAACCTCCTAGAAACAAAAGCCCATCTTTTTAATGCCAATATTCTAGAGTATTATTGGCTGCAAGTCATGAAATACTAGACTGAAAATTTTAAAACGACTATCCCTTAGAGGGTAAGTGGGTGGTCACGACATAAGGTATACTGAAGAACTGAAATCATCTGGAAATGAGCTGTTCATGTAGATAGCAAGTTAACCATGAACAATCCCTGTGCTCCTCCATGATCCTCATGATGCCAAGAAAAACAAGGAGGAACTTCCTAGCAGGGACTGGGCTCCCCAAACTTCTGGGAGGACATGGACGAGTCATAGGATGAACAGACATAGATTGTGATCTGTTCAGTTAAGGCAAAACTCACATTGATGAGATCACAGGATCCTTTTGAGTATTTTCATGTTTCAACAATTTCCAGAGATTTGAGGGGTCCAGCATTTATTGATTCTGATTAGAATCCAACTCTATATTCCACCTAATACTTTTTTTTTTTTTTTAAGGCAATTGGGCTTAAGTGACTTGCCCAGGGTCACACAGGTAGTAAGTGGCAAGTGTTTGGTCTGAGGCCAGGTCTGAACTCAGGTCCTCCTGACTTCAGGGCCGGTGCTCTATCTACTGCTCCACCCTCCAACTTCCTAAGGCAGGCAAAAACTTAAGCATAATATTCACTGGTTTAACATGGCAACACACCTGTGATGGGTTTTCGAAAATTACATGTGCATATATACACATACGTATGTGTGTATGCATGTGCGTATACACAAATATACATATATGTGTGTATGGTTTATATATAAACTTAGTTTATATATACTGCATATTTCAACGGAAAATTAAATGTTTCTACTTAAGTCTTGCTTTCTGAGAAGACATTCCTTTTCCCAATGACTGTGGTAACATCTGTAATTTCCCAAGGAGAGAGAGATTTGAGGAAAACAGCCCAGTGTTCCAAGCCCTCTAGAATTTGCCACTACCCCCTTTCCTAGCCTTTTATCACAATACTTTTCACTTGTACTAGACTATTTGCATTGCTCATATATATCCAGTTTCTTTTCCACCTCCATGCCTTTGCCTGCCCTGATTCTTATGCCTGGAATTCTCATCTCTGCATGCTAAATATTAGCTGACATTTGTATGAGGCTTTATGGTTTACAAAACATTGTAGACATTTTATTCTATTTTCCAAATTCCAGTTCGTATACTATGTATACTATAAAGCCTTACCTAACCTCTGGGTAATTATGTGTAAAGTTGCTGTGAGGATCACAAGCACCTTGTCAACTGTCCACTGCTAAATAAATTTCAGTCAGCATTATCTGTGACCTTGGTCAAGGGACTTAACTTTTGGCCCAATTTCCTCAGCTGTAAAATGAAAGGGGTTAGAGTAGATAACCTCGTCTAGCTCAAAATTCCATGATCCAATTATCCTCATATACATGAATATATGTATATGTGTATACAGCTAATATTTTGCTTAATTCAAAACAAAAATAGTTCATCTTGAAGAACCATTTTCCTAAAACCACTCAGTCCTTTCATGACCACTGTCTACAAGGAATAGGGAAAGGGGTTACTGTTCTTAAGGGATCATTAATCTAGTCAAGGTGGATTAATCAAGGACACCTTACTTTGGACCCTTGTAGTAACCAACCACCAGCCTCCTGTGTTGATCAAGGAGAAAAGATTGGAAGATTTTTAAGGGTTTCTGGCCCTGATCAATCCACAAGATACTTATTGTTCAGTTGTGTTCAACTCTTCATGACCCCATTTGGGGTTTCCTTGGCAAAGGTAATTTGCCATTTCCTTCTTTAGCTCATTTTACAAAAGAAACTGAGACAAATGGGAATAAGTGACTTGCCTATGGTCACACAGGTATTAAGTGTCTGAGGCCACATTTGAACTCAGGAAGAAGAGTCTTCATGACTCCAGGCCTAGTACTCTATCAGCCGTACCATCTAGCTAACCCTCCACAGGATAACTAGGATACTTTTAAATTCTTTCCTAATATTTCTTAAAAAAAAAAAAGGGAGGGTGGGAGGAAGGACTTGTCTACTTGTGTGTATATATATGTATACATACAGCTATGTGATAATACTGTTGTACAGGCAGTATGGGAGTAGCTAAGTGGCACAGTGGATACAATACTGGGCCTGGAGTCACAGATTCCTTTTCCTGAGTTCAAATCTAGTTCACTTAATTGCTGTGTGATCCTATAAATATCACTTAACCCTGTTTGCCTCAGTTTCCTTACCTACAACATGAGCTAGAGAAAGAAATTACAAACCACTGCAGTTATTTTTGCCAAGAAAACCCTAAATGCAGTCAGACATGACCAAATGAAAGAGGATTACAGTGCTGGGCCTGAGAACAAATTTCACCTTCTTGATGCTTACCCGTTGTGTAAGCCATTTAACCACTAATAGAGTGCTTCAAGCGATTCCTTAGGACTCATCCAAGGAATTCCTATACCAGGAGAAACCATAGCATTTTTATTCCCAGGACCACTTCATCTTTATTTCCTTATGTTCTTCATAATCACTTTTATTGAGTCATGGGTATTGAGTATGACTGTCAACACTCCATCCTTTTTTTCAGCTGCAGGGCAATTGGTTCCTAAATTTGTTATCACAGAGAACCTATTGATCTTTTCCCGGGGCCAACTTCCTCTTAGTTGATCTGCACCCGAAAGTCTGCCATCTCACAAATACATAGCCTGTTTCTGCAGTTCTGCTGACTGAATTTTTTTTAATCCCCCTTTTGCCAATTTAATGGGTTGCCTTGATTTGTATGACTAAGGAATTTGAACATTTTTTTCATGTTTTTTTTTGAGAAACTACCTGTTCCCATTTTCACCATTTCTCAATGGAAAATTTTTAATACTTTAGAACCATTTTCTTTACAGATTAACATTTGCCTAACATACATAATGCAATCTATGGATTCTCTTAAAAATTCCTTTATTCAAAAATGGTCCCATTGTGAAGACAAATATATTGTTCCTATCAATTTAAAAATTGTTAATTTACATCACTAATTCACTAAATTTAACACCTTAGGTATGATTAATCTATCTTTTCTTAATTTCCACAGGACTCACTCAGCCTGAATTATAAACCTCATCTGATTGCATAATTCCTTTTTTCAGATTCCAAATTCCTACCAGACAGTTAAATATTTTGGAGGCAGTGATCTCTACTTTTGTGCCTTCCAGTGCTTCAAATGATACATTATCCCTGCTATTTTACATGTATTACAATTTTAAAAGACCCAAGTTGGATGGATTTTGGAAAGACACTAACACAAATTATTGGTGAGGCTGTAAAATGGTTGTTAAATCATCTGTCACTTCCGTTCATAACCTTTGACCCAGTAACTGTTATATAAAAAAAACTGAAATTAGGAGGCGGCAGGTCTCATTAAAAAAATTTTTTTTATTACTTCAAGAATATGCTTATAAACAAGGATTCAAGAATGAAAAAAAAAAAACTCTCAAGTGCTTGCCACCTCTGATTTGATCACTGGTCCACATAGAAAAATTTGTGGTTTCCTGGTTCCTGGGTCTGGAAGAGCTGCAACATTGTATACCACAAGCAAGACAGGAGCCCTGAAAATCTGTAACAGGATCAATGATTATTTCCAACTTTTCTTTCCTCCCCCTTTCTCCAACAGAAGCATTCCCAATTCTGTTTGTCAGCAAAGTCCATAGTCCATAGAAATGGTAACTAGGTATAAGATGCAAAGCAAATCCAAGTGGAAATTGACCAGGAAGAAGACAGTAGCTACAAAGCCACTTTCAGAACAGAATTCAAGGACTGGTGGTAGTACTAATCCCAGTCTTGCTACCTTGTGCACCCTCACCAAAAGGAGGAGCTCAAACCTTAGTCTGACAGAAAAATTAGACAAACAGACAATGGGAAATCATCTCTACTTTAAAAAGTCCAAGAAACTCAGTTCTAGAGTTAGTTCTTCCTACCCAATGACTCCTACAGGAACAGGGAAGTGGGCAAAGGACCCAAGGATATGTGCTCCCTGACCACCCTACAATCCATGGTCTCAAATTCCCAGGATAGGTCAGTGTTTTTGTTGTCTCCAATGCAGATGTCAGAGACTCTAGTCTGAAAACTCATCATTCCCAACTTTTAGGAGCATCAGAGAGCAAGGCCTAGGGTGGAAAACATTATTCTGGGAGCACAGAAATGGCATGAAGAGAGTGCTATGTCATTCGAAGATGGAGAAAATGTCATTGGAGAGATGAATCCAGAAATTTGTAGTGCCTGGTTAAGGAGAAAAAGATGTTGGGCACTCCTTTCAAAAGGAAAGAATGTGTTTGAAAGAATGCATAGGAGTGTCTGCAGTTAATGGGCTGTCGGCAGCCATTGCTGCATACAACTTAAGACAGTGCCAGACTTTTGGAAAGGTCCATGTGACCAATGGGAACAGAAGCTAAGTAACCCTCCTTTGGAGAGAAAATAGAAAACAGCAAAAAAAAAAACCAAAACGTAATAAATTAAAAGTAGGATAATTTTCAACTTAAAAAACACGAACGGCTAGTACTACATCTATCTCTACATAGCACTTACCTTTCCTGTATTATAAGGAGAATCTGTTGCTTAGAATCCCTACGTATGGACAATGAGGGTGGGAACGAGAAATAGAAAAGCAGAGAATTTAGAGAATTATCAAGAAATTGAGAGTCCCATGTCCCCCAACTCCCAACCAAGAGAGTCAGTGCGCTGCGGTAATAGCATCAAAGAGATACTCAGATCCACTCTGGGGTCATCATGCCAATCAAGGCCTCACCCCCACCCCCCACCACGAAACCCCCATTACATCCAGTCACTTACCTACGGGAGTCGTCAGCCGCGTGGGTCCGAAATCCTGCAAAAAAAGGAAAGCTAAGTCTCAGAGGTAGGTAGAGAAAGGAGACGAGAAACCCATCCCCCCTCCCCCTCGGCTGGATCAGTTCCAAGTGGTGACGTCATGGGGACATCTGAAACTCTAGTCTGTAAAGGTAGGATCATCCCGTCCAGTTCCCTAGTCTTACCCGACCGACCCCCACCCGCACCGATGCCGGCCTTACCCGCAACCGAGTCCCTTCGGCAGCGCGGGGGGCATTTGCGCCCCACCTCAAGTCGGGGAAACTTCACTTCGCCCGGCTCAACCCATGCTCCAGAGGCTTACACCGCCGAGAAGCTCCACAGAGCACTCACGCCTCCCCTTCCGGGGCAACCCACTGGGCATCAGTCGTCCGCCGAAGGGCCAAGCTCGGCCGCACGCGCGTTACGCCCACGGCGCATGTCTACGAGGAGAGGCGACCCACGAAGAAAAAGGAGCTCGCGCTGGCAAGAGGAGATTACTTAAAGCCGCGGGAGAGTCGGGGAGGAGGGAAAGGGCCTTGAAAGGCGAGGCTGACCCTGTCAATGCCTAACCCAAGCGCCAGCCTCTTTCCTGACTCTTCTCTCCGTACAAGAAAAACGAAAACAGAACGAAAGTGATAATGGCTTCTCTTTCAACCCTATTTTTTATTTGAAGGGGAAATCTACGGAGGGATTTTTATCGATTAAAACAAAGCCACACACAGTTCAGGCGGATTGGTGAGCCAAACCCGGAAAGGAAAGTCCCCACAGTTCGAGGGAAGTGCGTTTGAGGAGGAAGGGGAGGGGACAGCGCCAGGGTGCGCTTCCTCTACCGGGATCCGCCCTCGAGGCCTCTCGGCTTGTGCAGTTGTAAGTTTAAAAAAAAAGAAAAAGAAAAAAGGGCGCGAAGCTCCCAGGAACCTTCAGGCGCATGCGCGGTGATCTTACGGGACTTGGAGTCCTACGCCCCGCCCTTCATATCACCGTCTCCTTTGTCCTCTCCTTTGTTTGCGTCCTCACAGCCCTTCTCCCCGTCCTCCCACCCTGGAAGGGAGGCCGAGGCCTTACTTAGTTCCGTGTCTTTTGTGTCTATGATAATCCCTCCCGCAGCCTTTTGACTATGGGAGGCGGGGGACTGGATTCAGGCCCCCAGCATGTGGTGAGGAGCGCATCACGTCACAAAGTTGTTGCGAAAGTGGAAAAAAAAATACTTTTCTTGTAAACTAAGGCGCTAGTGTTATTGCAATGAGAATAACAAGCATTTATATAGCACTCTAAGATTTGCAAAATGTGTAAAGCACGTCTTTCAATCCTCACGGCAACCCCTGTGAGATGGGGGGGTCTTCCTATAAAATTAACACCCATTTTAGAGAAGGAAAATAAGAAATTTAACCTGTTAAGTGACTTGCCAAAGGTAATGGAGACATTAAGAATCTCAGGCAGGTTTCGATCTCTCGTCTTCCTGACTCCCAGCTCTGGTGCTGTCATCCCTGGGCTTCTTTAGGCACTTTGGTAGAGGCTGGAGAACACGAAGGTGTTAAATGAAACAGCTCCTTGCTCTTAAGGAGTTTGCAATCAAATAGGGAATATGACTTAACTCATTTAGAAGCACTCAAAGGCCTACAAAAAATGTTTTGCTCAGAAGAACCATGCTAACAATTACAATGTTAGGTTGGATGTGACAGGGTTTAAAGTTTTGTTGTTTAGTTGTGTCCAACTTTTCATGACCCCATCTGGAGTTTTCTTGGCAAAGATACTGGAGTGGATTTGTCATTTCCTTCTCCAACTCCTTTTACAGATGAGGAAACTGAGGGAAAGAGGGTTAAGTGACTTGCCCCGGGGTCATGCAGCTAGTATCTGAGGCCAGATTTGAACTTAGGTCTTCCTGACTCCAGGCCCAGTGCTCTATCCACTGAGTTACCTGAACAGAGACAGCCTTGTAACATATAAAATATAAAATATAAATATATATATAAATATATACATATAAAATGAAAACTATAGAAAAAACATGCCCCCTAAGTCATGCACATATATTTCAAGGAGGTCAGAGACAGAAGGAAAAGTCCCGTGTAAACCAAAGTAGTCATAGAAATACTTGTTTGTGGTGGTAACAAACAGGAAACAGAGTGGATGCCTATTATTAGTTGGAGAATAGGTAAGCAAACTGTGGTATATGAATGTAGCTAAATATTGTACTTCCAGAAATGACAAATACAAGAAATTCAGAGGAACATGAAATTTTATATGAGCTGATACAGATTTTAAAGTAAGCACAACCAAGAGAAAAATAAACGCAATGATCACTGTAGTATAAGTGAAAGCAACAATAAAAGGTAACTGAATTCAAGATTAAATGCAGTTGACCATTCTGGATCCTGAAGAACAGATGATGAAGAGGTACAGAGACAGAAGAGCTGAATATTCTGTAGTTTGTAGTGTCAGCCTTACAGAGTTCGTTCTAAGAAAGACAAAATTAGGCTGCATGTGCATGTTTATTTCTCCTAAATCGGGTGAACATGCATGTTTATGCATGAGAGTTCATAAAAATGAGCTCAGAGTAGGGCCAGTTGAAGAAGGTTATATAAGGAAATGTTCCCTCCTTCCATTCCTGACTCAGGATGCCTATGTCAGCCAAAATTATAGTTTCCATATTTGTCAGCCATAAACATGGGGCCGTCATAAAACATGGATGTCATAAGAGGATAGTGTCCATAATATATCAAGATAAGAGAAGTGCCAGTTAATCAAGATAGTATCCAGTTCAAGGAACCTGGTCCTTATCTGTTATAACAGAAGAATGCTCCTGGTCAGCTTCATCCAGCCTTGGGGTTGCTGACAGAGAAAGGAGCATTTTGGTTTCACTCAGAGAGCATGCAAAGCATTATGGTAGGTTAACTCAGAAAGAGCAAAAAAATGTGTTTCTTCTGATCAATCCAGGTTTTTGGCCTTTTCAGGTGATGGGGGCTCACACTGGTTCACAGTGGATAATGAAATAAAGCACAGATGACAAAAGCAAGCTTCTGGTCCTGGTCAGTGTCAGAGCTTGAATTCTAATACAGAGGTCATTTGTCACCTCTCCTCTGGATTCTTCTGATAGCAAAGCTCTGAGAGGATTGTAAGGTTTTCCAGCTTACCTTGTGTCCCACATTTTGGGGCAGAATTTGCTGGAGGGGAGGGGGAGAGCCCCAGTTTTGAGCATAGCCACCCAATACATTCTCCCTACCCCATTCCCCACATTCACCAACACATATAAGCAAGTAAAGCCAGCAGTCCATTTCTTTTAACATTTTATCATTGATTCTTTTGTAGAGATGTGGAGGAAGAAGTGTGGTGCCATCTTAGAACAAGTATGGACATCTCTAGTCAGAAGGCCTGGATTTGTAGGTATAGAATGGTTTCATTACAGAATGGCTTAACCGTTGACCATCACTCAGATATCACAAGCAGAAATAAGATTATAGCTGAGATTGAGCAAACAGCTTTGGGAACTGTTGCCAAACAGTTCTCTTCTAAAAGTTCTCTTCTAAAGACAGAATCTTTCCTTCAGAAGTATCTCATTTTCTATAGCATCCTCTCCCATAATCCACACACTTAATTCATATCCTGCCCCTATTCCATATTCATAAAGGAAGAAGTAAGTAAAGCCTTTATTGTATAAGGGGATGACATGGTCAGATCTGCACTTTAGGAAGATTGCTTCAAGGCTTAGTAGAGAAAGAGCTGGGTCTTGAGTCAGGAAGTCCTGAGTTCAAATCCAGCTTCTGATACTTTACTAGCTGTGTGACTCTGGGCAAATCACTTAACCTCTGCCTGCCTCAGTATCCTCAACTGTAAAATGGGATTATAAGAGCACCTATCTCCTAGGATTGTGGGAGGATCAAATGAGAAATTTGTCAAGTGCTTAGCACAGTGCCTGGCACAGTATAGGTGCTTAATTAATGCTTGTTTCCCTCCTTCCTAAAACCTATGCTTGATGATGTATTTTGACATTTTATTCTTGCCTTTTCTATGGGGAAACAGGGCCCCATTGTAAATATTTGGAATGAATAGATATATGAAACAACCTGATATAGTGTGGAATAAAGGAAAAAGTGCTGAGTTTAGAATCAGAAGACTTGGATTTGCATCTTGACTCTGCCATTTAATACCATGTGACCTTGGGCAAATAATTCATCTCTCTGGGTTTCACTTTTCTCATTTGTAAAATGATGCAGTTGGACTAGAGGTCTCTTCTAGCTCCAAATCTAAGTCACTTTTCTTTTGACCTTTGGTTTCTTCATAGGTGCTATGGAGATAATAATACCTAACAGGTTTTGCTAACCCACAAGATTGTATGGAAGGATCCCTTATAAACTCTAAAACTTCATATAAATGGTTATTCTGAGTTATGGCTATAAAATAATTAAACAAATTTTAATGCACTGCTTTTGAAATCAGTAATACCTTTAGTATCCTGTTTTTAGCAGCAGCTAAGTGGGGCAATGAATAGAGAGCTGGGCCTAGAGTTAGGAAAACCTGAGTTCAAATCCTACCTTAGATACTTATTAGCTGTGTGACCCTGGGCAAATCACTTAACCCCTGCCTGCCTCAGTTTCCTCAACTGTAAAATGGAGATAATAAGAGCTACTTTGCAGGATTAAAGATATTTGTAAAGTGTCTGACCTATAGTAGGTGCTATTAGTTATTATGTCTTCATTACGTGAATGTAGCATAACCAAATAGGGTAGGGAAACGTGACAACATTGTCCTCACTTCTCCGCCAATCCTCCTCAAATGAATTTCTTTGCTTTTCCTTTTCTCTGCTGATTCATATTTCTGACTTCTTTCCAAAACTGGGCTCAAAACACCTCTTCCGTGAAACTTTCCTAGATGACCTCACTTCACTCTGTTTACTCCTCTATTTTATAACCCTTCAACACTCCCAACACTGTTTGCTCTACAGCTGAATGTTCAGAAGTTACAATAGTAATAGTAATAGTCAACAGACAATATCAAGCACTTACTATGTGTAAATCATTGCATTAGGCACTGAGGAAAATGAAAAGATAAATAGAATTTGGCCCCTGTCCTTGTGATGCTTGCAGCCTAAGGTCCTAAGATTTGCACCCATGTTTAAAACACCTTGGGTTTTCTCCTTGAAAATTTCCTGTATCTTTTTGGCAAGAGACAAGGTGCAGGACTCAAAAGTTGAATTATCTGAGCCTTTTAACTGAAAAACAGTTGTTTAAGGTAGTTTACTGTTTCTGTAAGACAATCTCCATGCTTTATGGAAAATATATGGAAAATATACCAGCAAGAGATACAGCACAGGACTACTGAATGGCTACTATTTCAGTTTGATTTCAGACCCCACACACATCCAAGGAAGGATTTGATAGGGCTGCATTTGATAGGGCAGCTGGCTCAGGTATATGGTAGGCCTATTGGCTCAGCTGGCTCAGTCGTTACAAGCAGATACTACGAGAACCCACCCTGGAGGTGAAAAACCTTTTCCAGTCTGCTGGGCAGGCCAGAGTTGGCAGTGAGATGTTTTTCCTGTTCCCTTAGGCTCTTAAAAGCTGGGTGTGGAATGTACCTGGTCACAAGTTCAGAACTCCAATCCATCTGTTGAGCTTTCAGATCTTAGTAGGAGCGGCTAGGCTCAGCCTCTTGGGAGTTTTAAAGTTGTATCTTTCATTTTTTGTTCTATTGAGTAAATGCCCTTGAATATATAATTATG